GGGTGGTGGGAGCTTTGTGGGGGGCACAGGGTGTGCCCTTGAGTTCGGGTTATTGTAAACCCCTGGCTCCGCCCAGCAGTTCCCTCTCTGCTCCCGGTTTGAGGGAGACGCACTCACGCCCCTGGCGTGATGGTGACACGATCACACTACCCAACCATGACGCGAAGCAGCCCCGCCAGTCCTGAGCCACAGCAGGTGCTTGGACCTTCCAAACCGGGAGCTCAGCAGACCCCCGCCCCTTCCCCTGGTGAGACGGAGTCAGTGGAAGATGAGCACCAGGCCTGGCGTGATGCCCCAGAACAGGATGTACTGGACGCTGTCGGAAGCGGGAGCGTCTCACTCACGGGTGTTGCAGTGCCAGAACCAGGACCACAGTTCCAGAGGCAGGCAGCTAAGGTGGGAGCCAGATGTCAGGTAGGAGCTGCGCTCTCAGCCAGGGACAGGCGGTGGGCTTGTGGGGGTGTGGGTGGGAACACAGGAGGACTGAGCCAGGCGGAGTGCTGGTGGTGCTTGCTGGGCTGGGTGCGGAGCGGCGGGAGGACGAGGCTGGCCGTCGTCCCAGGGTCTCAGCCCTGAGGAAACCCAGCAGCGCCCGGCCTGCCAGTGGCAGGTGCGGCAGGCGTCACGTTAACCACCAGGACAGGCGCACTGGGAGGGAGGAGGCAGGAGGGAGCGAAGGGCACTAGGTGGGCACTTGCCCGAGTCCAGAACCATCCAGAATGGGCACTCTACTGCTCCAACAAACCCACAGCAGTGAAAAGAAAATTCTCAAAATCACGACCACTAGATGCAATGTACAGTGCTGACTGAAATCCTGAATTAAATCCTCCAAGTATGAAAGAGCTGGTGTTTTGGGGGGGGGGGCAACAACTGGGGACATCTGGATACAGATGGATGTCATTATACTGAAAAGTATTGGTGATTTCAATAGTTGTACTGATGATACTGTGGCTCTGGTTTTAAGAGGTTCCTACCCTTTACAAAGCACAGCTTGGGGGAACTGGGGTGACAGTTCATGCCATGTCTATAATCTGCTCATTTTCATCCTTCGCTAATCCAGTAACCAACAGTATGGGGGATATTTATTGTTGAATCTACGTGCTGTGACTATGAGAAACCTTCAAGCTGTTCTCTCCATTCCTGTGCATTTACGTTTTTCATAATAAAAATGTCAAAAGATACAAGTTCCCTCTCCCACTACGCCTGGGGGGGGCGACACGTCCGTCCACACTTGGCTGGGACCACCAGGCCCTGCCTCCAGCACGGCCACCATGACCAGGAGCAGTGAGGAGAGGGGCGAGGACAAAACTCTTAAGAAAGCTGCCACGTGCAAGATGTGGCCCAAGGCCCCCACGGACATCTGTTTTTTTTTTTTTAATTTAATTTTGGAGGGAAATGACAATCAGAATTGAACTACAGGGCCGGCGCCGTGGCTCACTAGGCTAATCCTCTGCCTTGCGGCGCCGGCACCCCGGGTTCTAGTCCCAGTCAGGGCGCCGGATTCTGTCCCGGTTGCCCCTCTTCCAGGCCAGCTCTCTGCTGTGGCCAGGGAGTGCAGTGGAGGATGGCCCAAGTGCTTGGGCCCTGCACCCCATGGGAGACCAGGAGAAGTACCTGGCTCCTGCCATCGGATCAGCGCGGTGTGCCGGCCAGGGCAGCCATTGGAGGGTGAACCAACGGCAAAGGAAGACCTTTCTCTCTGTCTCTCTCTCTCTCTCACTGTCCACTCTGCCTGTCAAAAAAGAATTGAACTACAAATGCTTTCCCTTTCAGGGCCAGTGCGGAAAGGGTCCTTGGAATGTGTGTGTGTGTGTGTGGGGGGGTCTTTGCTTTCTGCCCTCCCTCTCCTGCTCAGCTCTTACCAGAAGGCCTGGCCTGGGCCCGGGAGTCACCAAGCCAGAGCCGGGGCCCCTGCACTGCACCTCTCTGTGGCAGTGACCTGGGGGAGCAAGCTCGCCCCATGCCTGTGTTTCCTGCTGTCTGACATGGAGACCACGGCCCCCGGGGCTGCAGTGCCACTGCTGTGGGCAGTGAGCAGAGCTGGGGGCCTGCTCTGCCAGCCCTGCTGGTGCTGGGCCAGCTCTGAGCATAAAACCAATGACCAGGCATGGTGTCTGCCCAGCGCTCTCCCTGCCTGGCTCCTGGGTGTCACAGGAAGGACAGTGGACGCCGTGGGTCCAGTCTGTTGTACAGAACTGGGATCAGTAACACCCACATTAAATATGAACTCACCCCGCTGGCGCTGTGGCAAAGGGGGTTAAGCTGCTGCCATGGTGCCAACATCCCAGATGGGCACCAGTTCAAATCCCAGCTGCTCCACTTTCTGACGTGCCTGGCAAAAGGCGGAGGATGATCCAAGTACTTGGGCCCTGCACCCACGAGGGAGACCCAGACGAAGCTCTTGGCTTTGGACCAACACAGCCCTGGCTGTTGTGGCCATGAGGAGCGAACCAGCAGACAGAAGAGATATCTCTCTCTCTCTTTCTCTCTCTCCCTCTTCCCTCTCTGTAACTCTGCCTTCCAAATCAATAAACGTAAGAAACAACACGAATTCACCCACGCAGGCAGACGCTTCACAGCAAGAAGCCCCAGGACTTCCCTCGGCAGCCCATCTCCTTCGCACCTGATCCACACCCATCGCTCCTCCCCACGGGGGACCAAATGCCCTGCTTCGGAGAGCTGCAGCCAGCCACCAGGTCTGAAGCACCCTTGCCTTCTGTCCTGCCCGGGTCGGTGCCGCTACCCAAGGCGCCAGGCCTGGAGCCGTTGCCGGAGCATGTGGCTTAAGTGCCACGCTCCTAAGGATCCCGCCAGCACGCTCCTAAGGTGTCACGGGGGACCCATTTCTTGAAGAAGGACAACTTCCTGAAGTCAGGTGGTTTCCTCTCCCCAGCACAGACAGGTGGACACCCCGCCAAGCCCAGGGCCAGCGTGGGAGGGACCCTGCCGGTCCCCAGTTCCTACTACAGAACCAGGAAGTCTGGGTGTGCAGTACATCAGCGTCCGCCTGGAAAACCAGTGCCAAGGCTCAGGGCAGAGATGGGCGAGAGAAAAGGCCCAGCCAGCAGCCTAACAGAAACGGGCAGACTTGTGGGGGAGAACGCACCCCCGCGGAGACACGGGTCGTGCAGGGGCAGGGCCTGAGCAGCCCCTGAGGGGTCCATCCACAGGGGACCCCAGTGCTCGCAGCCTCTGCCACCATGGCTCCCACCACGGGTCTGGCCAACACCAGGCACCCGGCCCTGGGCTGAGACTGCAAACAGCTCACGGGGCTCCTGCACGGGGCTCCAGGGCAGAACTGCGCTTCCTGGCGGCCAGCCATGCGCCCCCCTCTACGATTCCTGCCGAGGGTGTGTTAGCCGCGCCGGAGTTCTCACAGGCAAACACTCCACGCAGCTGCCTGTTAACCAGAGGCCGATTAAAATGGTAATAAGTTGAATTTCTTACCTACACACCTGAGGTCCAGACCGAAGAGTGGGGCGACTTCCCAGGTCACCCCCGCCCTCTGCCATTTTCTACAAACAGCCATGTGCGGCGTCTGCAAGAATCCTGACCCGGAGCAAGCAAACGCTGGGTCAGCTGCTCACATCTCGCCGTCCGTGGCGCCTCACCCGGCCCTGCCTGTCCTACCCGCTCTGAATCCTCCAGGTCCACCACAGTCACCAGCTCTCCACTTCCAGGGCTGTCCCCAACGTCCCGATGCCCACTCTCCCTGCCCTCGGCGTCCCTGCCCGTCAAGCCCAGCGCTGCTGCCACCTTCGTCCAATTCTCACCTCCAAGGCTGCTTGCTCTGAGCCAGACAGAAGGAGCTCAGCCCCTCCCCGCTTTCTTTACCTTCCTTGTACCACACAGCTCAAGCCAAGACAGGTCATAGCCCGCGCGGGTCCCGGAAGTACCTAGGATGGCCGCGCTTCTCCCTCTTCCATGGTTCGGCTCAGCTGAGTCCCGATGCACCCCTTACAACCTCATGGGGTGATCGCTCTGCCTTGAATACAAATTCCATCCCACCCACCCCTCACTAGCTTAATGACACTGGCCTGTCACCGAACCTCCCTGGCTTCCAGTGCTCTCTGCGAAGATGGGAAGATAAGGACCAGCACAGCGGCACAGCAGGTTAAGCTGCTGCCAGCAAGGCCAGCATCTCACATCAGCACAAGTTCGAGTCCCAGCTGCTCCACGTCTACCCAGCTTCCGGCTAACATACCTGGGAAGGCAGTGGAAGACGGCCCAAGTACCAGGGTCCCTGCCACTCGTGTGGGAGACCCGGATCCAGTTTTGGGCTCCTGATTCCAGCCTGGCCCAGTCCCATCCCAGGGCTGTGGCCATCTGGGGAATGAAGTAGCAGATGGAACGTTTCTCTCCCTCTCCCTGTCACTCTGCTTTTCCAATAAATCTTTACCCAAAAATGGGCCAGCACTCACGGACTATTCTGCACAATAAATGAGAAAGCAGCTGTGGCAGCAGCGGTGCACCCCGCCCCTGGGCCGGCCTCTCTGCCGCCTGCTGTTCCCTCTCGCGCTCTACCCACAGGCGTGCTGTGCTGTCTTCTCCTGGCATCGCACGCCCAGCCTGTGCAGGGCGGCTCCCCGCCTGCCTTGCTGTGTTGCTGCGTGTGGCACAGGCACACCGAGTTCACCCGTCTTCTTCTCCCACGTGCCTGCCTGCAGCTCACCAGCCAGGGGACAGCACAAGTCACCGAGCAGGACTTGGTCCACGTGAAAAATCACTTCAGGCTGGAACAGTCTGAAAGTTCATGGTCTTTAACAAAAAAAAAAAAAGAAAAAAAAAAGAAAGAAAAAAAAAGGGGGGGGGGCATCGAAAGCATTTCTAAATTTAGGTAAGATACATATCCGCTTAAAACGTTCCCCTATGGCATGTCCTCGCTCACCTTCCCCTCACTGGATAGAATGGGGCTTATTTTCATAAATCAAAGTCATCACTCACAAGCACACACACACATTTAAAATTCTGAAAAGGATATTTAAGATGATAAAGTATACCCGATCGTCATGATCCCTCTTTGGGGCAGACACGTGGAGAGGAGACCGCGCTGCAGTGGCTTCTTCCCAAGCCGCTTGCCCACGTCAGCCTCAGCCTGGGGCTGCAGGAGACGGCTCCGTCTCTCCTGACACGAGCCCAGCTGCTTCCGTCAACAGGTTTAGCTTCCGAGGATGCCGTATGAGCAGCAGGTCCTTCTCTCCCATGGGGGAGAAATGGGCTCAGCACAGAGACCCGAGACCCTGCCCTAGCACCACCAGGAACTGTGGGCGGGCGCTTCCTGTTCGTTCTTTACACAAGCACAGGGTTTCCTTGGATTCGGAAACTGCAAATTATCCTTCAGCATCAATACGTCGTCCCCTGCAATCCCGCGTGGCAGACGCACTCATGCTTAATGGTGAGCCCTGCGGTGTCTGGAACACACATCAGGAAATCATCCGGAGCGTATCTGTGCTGTAAGCGTAGCTGGGTGCCCTGGTTTGTTCAAGCTAGCTCAGTCCTTTTCAGCACCGCCGTAGCCATGGCAACAGGCAAGGATGTGGCTCTCGGAGGGAGGCGGAGGGAGGCGTGGGGATGAAGCCGGGGATACCGCCTCGGGGTGAGCAGCCGTGGAGGGCTGAACGGGGCTTTTACAACAGCCACCAGGCCACAGGGCGACAACATCCCGTCCTACAGGTGACAAATGGAAGACCGACAGCTTCCCAAGGTCTCGCACGTTCTGGGCGTGGACATCTGCACTGGTTTGGGGGATGGTCCTCGTCCCCTGCTGGCCTCACGTGTCTGCACGACACCTCAGAATCCCAAGTGTGAACAGAACCTCTGCACGTCTGCTCCCTCCCAACCCCGAAGACGTCCTTGAGAAACCATCTGCCCAGGTTCACCCGAGCTGTCTCCAGCCCAGCTGTGAAGCCAGCGGGCGGGCACCACAACGGTGCCACCACGCCCTCACTGCTCGGCAGCCCTGGGAACAGGAAGGCACAGCACAGGGGTCTTTCTGACTAGGAACTGTCCTGGTCACCCACCAGGCTGCTGCTGTGACACCAAGTCGTGTGCTCAGGTCCAGGGCCGGCACAGCGGTGGCACTGGAGGGAGGTCGGGCAGCTCGGGGCCACGGGTGGGATCCAGGGCAGGGCACCCGTGGGATGGAGAGGAGGAAAGGGGAGGGCTGTCTCCCACACAGCTCATCTGGAAGCCCCGTGGTCACCCGTCAGCACTGGCGATGCATCCTCCATGCGCGTGAGACAGGGAGGTCCAGAACTTGCGTCAGGTCACAGACAGGTTTTCTCCATGGTCCGTGCACTTCACAGGTTGGCTCACGGCCAGCATGGCCCAGCGCAGCTCACCCTCCCTGTCTCCCACGGCCCCTCTGCTCCTGCATCAGCCTCTCCAGCCCCTGCACCCGCGCCAGCTGCCCCTCCCGCACCTGGCTCTTCTAATCGCTCCCAATGCAAGTGCACTTTTCCAATTTTCCACTGTGTTTTCATCTTCCCTAAGGCTCTGTATTTTGTGATCTAGGTTACAGGTGTGAGATCACTGTTCACATGTGAACACACCTGACATCAGGATGTGCCTTGCTATTGGTGGCGTACCTTGTTTAACTGGAACACTTTTCTTCCCCTCTTAGAGCTATGTAATAGACGCACCTCACGATCAATGTCATCTTAGACCCTGTGGGGCACGGAATTAAAGAAGCAGATGGCCATCCAGCTAACGTCACTTACACAAGCTGTGTCGCACGCAGGGCCACGTGAGTGGGAAGTGCCAGGGGTTCAGGGGAGGCGGGGGTATGGATGGCGGGGGGGGGGGGCACGGGGGACTTCCAGGGCAGTGCAACACTGCCTTGTGGTAGTGTCCTGTTAGGTACATGGCATTACACATCTGCTAAGACCTGCTGAACTCCAACGCTAACGTAAACTGGTAAATAATCATCTATCAATTATTACTATGTGCTGATTCATCAATCAACAAGAATGCCACACTCATGTAAGCTGTCAGTGCTAGGAGCAACTGTGTGTGTGTGCAGGGAGAGTATATGGGACCCCCTCAATTTTACTGTGATGCTAAAAATAGATGCTCTTACAGTCTGTCAATTAGAATACGAAACGGTAGGGTGATTTGGTCTTTCCTGTTTCTCCCATAAATTCAGTGATGAAGATACACCCAGTACTGCTTCAGGTTCTGGACTTCACAGTCTCCCAGCACCTCCAGTCAGTTTTAGTTATCTCTGATCAATCAATGGAGCTCGCAGGACACTCTCCCCGAAGAAAGCAGAAATGAGGAGCCAGCCGATCCCTGTCCTTAGGGTATTAAGGGAGAAGACCGATTCTCGTCCTGCCTTAACTCTGAATATCCCAAACCTCGCTCACTAACTGTGGGCACAGCGGAGAAAGATCGGCGAGAGGCCGGTGGCGGCAGGTCTGCGGGAGGAAGGAACTGTCTGCCCAGGATCTGCAACACCGCTCTCCAGGACAAAGACAAGCCGAGGGGCTTGTCGATCTGGTGACCGTTGGATTTGTCCAATACACGGTGATCTGTTGGGTGACCACTGGATTTATCTGATACACGTGACCCGCCCGAGGTTGACGACAATCGGGGTTTATTCTCTGTTCTCGACAAACACATGCAGGGGAAAAGTGTTTTCCCAGAGTGGATTTCCCACGAGGGGAGCCAGGTCAGACTCTAAATCTGCCCAGAATTGCACGTGGGTGTCAGAGTCCTCCCAGAATACGACATGATGAAAGCTCACCGTTTGATTACAAATGTAACAACATACTCATTAAGTGCACAGCGTGGGCAAAGCACGGTGACACACGCTTACGACGCGCTCTCTGCAATGGGGCAGGCACAGTGTCCCTGACAGACGGGCGCCCGAGGTCACAGAGCTGGGAGGGGTCAAGACCCAGGCCCTGCCCAGGCTGTCAGACCCTAAAGCCCACATTCTCGACCTCCGTCCTGTCTTGTGTATCAGGAATCAGACACAAATAACCTCAAAATGTGGCCCGGGGGAAACTGGAACTGGGCAATTTACCCTGCAGCAGCGTGCAGCCCCTCTGAGTGCCAGCTCTGCCGACGGGGCGAGTGCAGGGACGAAGGAGCCCCCCCGTGGACACAGGTGGACAGAGGTCCCACCCCAGCACCTCCAGGCATGGCTGAAACCAAGCCAGACTAGACACGTGCGTTTATTTCCTCACCCGTCACAGTCCTGGAGACAAGGGCGGCTGAGACCAAGAACACAATCAAGGCCACACTGCTGCTCGCGGCTTTCATGGACTGGCATTTAAAACACCAAGCGCAGGAGCCGGGTGCCGGCCTCCTCCACCGCGTGTGGCTAAGGTGGAGCTACAGGGAGAAGTCACCATGGACAGATGCCGTGGAGGCCCCAACATGCCGAGGCTGCAACCCAAACCGGCTGGGTTGGACCCCCGACCACACTGCTCTCCAGGCCAGCACGGTAACCATTCCTCCCAACGGTGCTTCCAATGCCGGGCTCCCCCCACCCCACTGGGACCCGGCTGAGCAGTGCACAGGACTACTGGGTTCACTCTGCTTGTCCTACACTAACGTATCTTCCACCCCTTCCCCACCTTCTTCTGTAGTAACCACTTCTTCCTCTGGGCTGGTTTCTAGGTTCCACATTGACTCAGCATCCCCTTCCTCCTGCCCCGAATGTCAGTCATCCTGGCCTAGAGTTTGAATTTCATCCCTCTAGCCGGACAGAACTCATGATCGCGATGCCCGATGCGACCCTGCCTCTCTCTCGGTCTCCATCTGAGACGGTCTCTCCTTTCCCGGAACTGTGTCTTTAGCACTGTCTTTAGAGAGGGTCTCATCGTGATGGACTCAGCCCCTGTTTATCTGAAAGTCAATTTGTTTTTTCTCTGTCTTTGTGAGGTATCTCTGCTGGATAGAGAATTTGGACCAGAACGTCTCCCCTTCCAGCACACACGGAAGGTATGACTGCACCGCCCTGGCCCCTGCCAGAGGCAGGCGGCTCGACTTCTGCATGTGACTGCCGGAGGAGTGGCCTGTCCCTTCTGAGAGCGAAGGGCCCATTCTGCACTTGGGTGGGCTGCGGCTTCCCCCCGGGTCTAAGTGTGATTTGCCAAATTTACTTTTCATGGGTTTCACTGGGCTTCTTGAATCTCGGATTCATATCACCCATCCGCTCCAGAAAATTCTCTTTCTCTATGCCCCTTTCTCTGGAAGGGCCCAGTCTTTCTCATGGGTGCCTTGGTTTTTCCCAAGGTATTTTCATCTCTTCATCTCTACTGCTTCTGGATGTCTCCTTGTGGTGTGCTTCCCGCTCACTACGATTTAGTGCAGCTGTGTTTAAGCTGACATTAATCCTGTATATTCAGTTTTTAAATTCAGTAGGATTTTTAATTATTATTCCTTCAGGTTCTTTTGGTTCACTGAAACACCTGCTGCAACTTTTATTGTTTCCTATTCCTTAGAGCCAGCAGGTGCAGTCCACGGACGGGAGAGCCACAGAGCCTCCAGGAATGGGACACCACGCAAATCTGCAGGCCGGCTGCTCTGTCTCTGCACTCCAGAGACTTCTGCCACCTTCAGTTCAGTCCGGAGCCCACACAGACTTCCGCACGGGCCACCGGGCCTGCGGGGTGGGCTTGCCTTGGGCTGTTCTTCACACTGGGGCTCCAGCTTTTTAGGGCTCCAATCTGAAGGAGGAAAATGAACCTGACCCCAAGGCAGGCTCTGGGCTGACGGCTGAGCTGCTGCTGAGGTTCAAGTCTGCTGGCCAGTACACGAACAATCAACACAGAGCTCACAGGGGAAGCAAATTATGAAAATCCCATGCACGGGTATTTTCAGAATTTTTGCATCAAAATAAACTTAACTTTTTTTATTTTTTGACAGGCAGAGTGGACAGTGAGAGAGAGAGACAGAGAGAAAGGTCTTCCTTTACCGTTGGTTCACCCTCCAATGGCCACCATGGCCAGTGCGCTGCGGCCGGCGCACCGCGCTGACCCGATGGCAGGAGCCAGGTGCTTTTCCTGGTCTCCCATGGGGTGCAGGGCCCAAGCACTTGGGCCATCCTCCACTGCACTCCCTGGCCACAGCAGAGAGCTGGCCTGGAAGAGGGGCAACTGGGACAGAATCCAGCGCCCCGACCAGGACTAGAACCCAGTGTGCCGGCGCCGCAAGGCGGAGGATTAGCCTAGTGAGCCACGGCGCCGGCTAATAAACTTATCTTTAAAATCTGCTTTTCCATGAACTTTCTGAAGTCCCCCTCACATATCCTCACAGCACTTGTGCTGTTATGACTAAATCTCTCGCCTTCTACCGTCTCTTAGAGCTTCCTGAGATGGCCGTACTACCTTGTTACTTCTTTGAAACTTTTAAGACCATTTTAAATACATATTTTATCCAGTATTTGTATTTACTTTCAGAAGAAGGGTTGGGCAAAACCAGCTAAGCAGTCATATTTGAAATGGGAGTTCTGTGTTAAAGAGCTAATTTTTCTAAGCCGGGGCTGGTGCCTTGGTACAGCAGGTTAAGCCACTGCCTGCAACACTGGCACCCAGAGGAGTGCTGGTTCGAGTCCCGGCTGCTCTGTTTCCACTCCAGCTCCCTGCTCATGCACCTGGGAAGGCAGCAAATGATGGCCCAAGCACCTGGGTCTCTGCCACCCACATACGAGACTCGGATGGAGTTCCAGGCTCCTGGCTTCAGGCTGGCCGCTGGGGGAGTGAACCAGTAGATGGTGGATTCCTCTCTCCCTCTTCCTCTCCCACTCCTTCAAATAAATAAATCAGTCTTTAAAAATGTAGTTTTTTTCTAAGCCATAACTCTCCCCTGGAATGAGGGCTGGGCATCATGGTCTGCAGGGTAGCCACTGGCTACTGAGCATTCGAAATGCGGCCAAACAGAGGTTTGCTGTGGGTGGAAAATACACACTGAGTTTTGAAGCCCTCAGACAAAATAGGAAATGCAAAATCTCCTAAGACTTTTACTAATGGACATATTTTGAAATATTTGAATAGACTGAGTAAAAATACATCAATAAAATTAATTTCACCTGTTTTTTTGAAATTTTTAATGTAGCCTCCAGGAAATTAGAAACCACACATGTGATTCTTGTTACTTTTCTAACGGGCAGCACCACGTGTTCATGGCAATGGTGTGACAATCCTTAATGAGCACTCCTGTCTCCTGTCTGTCTCACTGCCACCGTGTGCATGTGTCTGTCTGTGTGCGCGCTCGCGTGTGTGCCTATCTGCCTGTCTGGTGTGTGCATGTCTCCACACTCTGCCTGAAGAAACAAAGTTACTTTGTTCACTTCTGTTGCCAGACTCCATGCCTGTTACAT